GTTAACAACCGCAGAAGAAGTCACTAGAGAAAACCATGTCTGCTAAGCGTAATGAAGTCATCCTTTGAAGTGACATCTTTATCACTGGGAGTTTTCTTTGCGAATGAAGCTGGCAAGGAAGGAATTACTAGCTTATATAAAGACGGTCAAACCAAAGGCAGAGATTACTGAGGGGTGGATTCTGAACAACATGAAGGCGCTCTGTCTGATCGCAGAAGGTGTTATTCTTGAGCATCATACGAAGATTCGCTCGGCAACAACGGCTATGCACGCTTAGGACACCCTACGGGAATTCTACAATCGAACAACGAAGCACAACCGTAAGTCAATGAACCGTCCTCGTCATGATTTCAAGATGGACGATGGCGCGACTATGACAAAGAATGTTGATAGTTTTTATGAGTTTATTGTAGGGCTATGGGCATTTGGGGAGCCACATGATGATGCTGGGCAGCTAGTGATTTATCAAGTAGTCCGCCGGCTGAGTACTAATTAATCTCATCCATTATTGAAAACATTAAAGGCATCATGCTTAATGAGTTAAAGGAGAAATTACTGAAGGAATCCTAGCATCAGGACAGAAGGGGAGCACGTAACGTGCGATGAACGTCACTTTATACGGCTAAAAAAACAAAGAGAAGTTCAAGAAAAGCAATGGATACAGCGGTCACAAGAACAAAGGCGGATAGAATTCATGGGCTCAAGAGCAAGTGTTTCGGGTGCGGTCAAGCTGGACACCTGATGCGGGAATGCCCGGATAACAGTAATGAAAATGAAGAAGACGAGGTGTTCGCAATCAAATAGCTTCAACTCACTGGTTGGTTGACCGACAGCGGAGCGACTTGACACATGTCCCCGCACGTGAAGACCTGAGGAAATATTTTGCTGCTCATGGCATTATTGAAATCACAATCGCGGATGGAAAAATCTGCGCGTAGTTGGAATAAGTTCGGTACTCCTGAAAGGTGCAGATCACAAACCAATCCGAATGATGGAGGTATCACACATTCCAGGACTGGAGAGACGACTACTGTCAGCTGGAAAACTCGATGCTCGCGGTCTGAGCGTTAGATTTCAAAGAACATTGTGCACTATTATGAAGATTCTTAGGAGCGATAGCCGCGGCAAGAAAGTAAGCAAAGCCTACATTTCGAATTGCCAACAAGATTGTGCTCATTTTATAGATTACGCAAAGGTTGAGAGCCAGCTAAGGTTGTTTTGGCACGCTCGATTAAGTCATCCAAATCCAGATGCACTAACAAAGAAACAATAGGTATATCAGCAACGAAGCAGCAGATCAAGTTGTTATATGGTGGATGCATGAGGGACAAGCAAACATTGGATCAAATTCCGCCTCGATTGAAGTCTAAAACATCGCGCGTACTTGAATTGGTCCACACGGACGTCATGTAATCAATGCAAACACAAGCTTTGTGAACGACTATTCAAGATTGTGGTCGTGCACGTTCTCTAGAAGAAGAATGAAGTTGTGCAAATGTTCAAGGTTTACAAAAAAGCTATACGAATATTAATGGCGGAATTGACAATGGTTTGGAGTTTGCGAATAAGACGCTAGATAATATCTGTGAGTTTGGTGGTATCATGCACCAGAAGACTGTGCCTTACAGTCTGCAACAAAACGGAGTAGCTGAGAAAATGAACCACACCATAATGGAAAAGACAAGAAGCATGCTGCCTTACAAAGGGGTATCAGCCGAATGATGGGCGGAGCCAGTCAACACGGCAGTCTACGTGATCAACAGGGCCACCGACAGTGCTCACCCGGACACAACGCCGGACGAGATAAGTTTCATGATCAAGCCACAAATAAACCACCTGCGCATGTTCGGATCTCACGGTTATGCGCATGTGGATGATGCCAACCGAACAAAAATCGAAGCTCTGGGCTTTTGATGCTTGATATCAAGGTACGCCAACAATATCAAGGCCACAGATATTCTTTCTGTAGTCGCAAAAGATTAATGCGGTGAGTTCTTTTAAACTTGAGGAGCGTGAAATAAATGGCATGAACAACGTACTGTGCGATTATGATCAAAGCAAAGTGCGATGACAAATTTTCTTGGACAATGGAGACCCATGGTTGACGAACTGATGTTGCCAGTTAGTGAGCACGATAAAGACAGCGTGATGTGTGAGGTTGATGTCAATCCACTATCCACCGGTCAGGAGCTTTCGACTTTCTGTAAAGCGAGACGACCGGCATAGAGCGATAATATGGTGAACCATCCGCACATAGAGCGGCGACATCGGGAACGGAATCAAATCATGCTTTTTGGCAACATTAGTGCAAACTTCAGCTCGACAGGTCCCAACTCGACTATGTTGAAGCTATTGATGAAGACTATAACAGTGATCCTGATACTGACGACCCTTTCTGGCCTCCATTGCCTAAAGACCTTGCATTGATGAAGACGATCTGATTGCTGAAGCTGTGTTAGCCTATGCTGCAAACGTCGGCAATGCAGATGATGCCCGAACTACGTATCAGCAGGTCATGACAAGTCAAAATGCGCCAAAATGGATAGAAGTCATGAAGGGCTGAATTTAAAGCGCTCAAGCTCAATGGATCATGGACCTTGGTGTCAAGAAAAGCGGATATTCGCCCAATTGGTTGTCGGTGAGTCTTTGCAAAGAAGCGAAGTGAGAGCGGGCAAGTGGTAAGATATAAAGTTCGGCTTGTTGCCAAGGGCGTCAATCATAAGTTTGGTGTGGATATCTTCGAAACTTACCTACGGTGACCAGCATGAATTCAATTCGAATGGTGATGGCACTTGTTGTGACTGAGGGTATGTAAGAGAACACTAAGATGCCAACACTGCCATTTCTAGCTGTGATCTGGAGGAACGAGTGTATGGTTACAAATTGTATCAAATTTACAACGGAAAAACACAGAAATCAAGTATATTTGGTAATGCTCATCTTTTAAGCTATCCTTAAAGTTTCTAAAGATTGTTACCCGAGATAGCTTTCGAGCTCTGTAGCTTCATAACTACCCTTATGTTTTGACTCTTGTTCTCTATGTTGAATGAGTAAATTGTAGAATACGTACGTCATCTTTTGCCGATTATTTTGACTCCCGAGGTTCTAGCCGTGACTCA